CCATCGTGAAAAAAATCCAAATAAATATGAGTGTCTGTGTATATGTGTGTTGTAATATATGCTTGCCAGACGTTTTTGGTACGCCAACTTTTAATCAAAGTGAAATTCTATACCAATAATTTCCCGAAGAAATCTCTGACATTTTTATTTCTCAAAAATGACTTAAAAATACACTAATTTGTCTTAAAATACTTAGCTTTGTCTATTTCTGTTGTTGGAATTCAGAAATAATAGACTTTTTTGGTACGAAAACTTAGTCGACAGTCAATGGCCATGTTGTTGTTCAGTTGTTCTTCGGTTGTTCTTCAGTTGTTCTTCGGTTGTTCTTCAATTAGTTGACATTTAGTCCAAACTTAGTCAATGGCCAGCTTATTCTTTAGTTATTCTTCAATTAGTCGACACTTAGATGATGGCCAGCTTCTTAGTTCTTTCGTTGTTCTTTCGTTGTTCTTTCGTTGTTCGTTGGTTTTTCTTCGGTTGTTCTTCGGTTGTTCTTCGGTTGTTTTTCGGTTGTTCTTCTGTTGTTCTTCGGTTGTTTCTTCAATTTTTTGACTTTTTGGTACGTTATCTTTGGATGACAGTAAAATACTATACCAATAATTTCCCAAAGAAATCTCCGGAAAAAATCTTTTCTCAAAAATGACTAAAAATACACCCATTTGCCTTGAAATACTCAGCTATGTCCATTTCTGTTGTTAAAAGTCAGAAAAAATAGACTTTTTTGGTACATCATCTTTGGATGACAGTGAACTACTATACCAATAATTTCCCGAAGAAATCTCCGAAAAAATTTTTTTCTTAAAAATGACTAAAAATACACTCATTTGTCTTAAAATACTCAGCTCTGTCCATTTCTGTTGTTAAAAATCAGAAAAAATAAACTTTTTTGGTACATCATCTTTGGATGACAGTGAACTACTATACCAATAATTTCCCGATGAAATCTCCGAAAAAAAAAAGTTCTCAAAAATGACTAAAAATACACTCATTTGTCTTAAAATACTCAGCTCTGTCCATTTCTGTTGTTAAAAATCAGAAAAAATAGACTTTTTTGGTACATCATCTTTGGATGACAGTGAACTACTATACCAATAATTTCCCGAAGAAATCTCCAAAAAAAAAAATGTTCTCAAAAATGACTAAAAATACACTCATTTGCCTTAAAATACTTAGCTATGTCCATTTCTGTTGTTAAAAATCAGAAAAAATAGACTTTTTTGGTACATTATCTTTGGATGACAGTGAAATACTATACCAATAAATTCCCGAAGAAATCTCCGAAAAAACTTTTTTCTCAAAAATGACTAAAAATACACTCATTTGCCTTAAAATACTTAGCTATGTCCATTTCTGTTGTTAAAAATCAGAAAAAATAGACTTTTTTGGTACGCCAACTTTGGATGACACTGAAATACTATACCAATAATTTCCCGAAGAAATCTCCGAAAAAATTTGTTTCTCAAAAATGACTAAAAATACACTCATTTGCCTTAAAATACTTAGCTATGTCCATTTCTGTTGTTAAAAGTCAGAAAAAATAGACTTTTTTGGTACATTATCTTTGGATGACAGTGAAATACTATACCAATAAATTCCCGAAGAAATCTCCGAAAAAATTTTTTTCTTAAAAATGACTAAAAATACACTCATTTGTCTTAAAATACTCAGCTCTGTCCATTTCTGTTGTTAAAAATCAGAAAAAATAGAGATTTTTGGTTCATCAACTTTGGATGACAGTGACATACTATACCAATAATTTCCCAAAGAAATCTCCGAAAAAATTTTTTTCTCAAAAATGACGAAAAATACACTAATTTGCCTTAAAATACTCAGCTATGTCCATTTCTGTTGTTAAAAATCAGAAAAAATAGACTTTTTTGGTACGTCAACTTTGGATGACAGTGAAATACTATACCAATAAATTCCCGAAGAAATCTCCGAAAAAATTTGTTTCTCAAAAATGACTAAAAATACACTCATTTGCCTTAAAATACTTAGCTATGTCCATTTCTGTTGTTAAAAGTCAGAAAAAATAGACTTTTTTGGTACATTATCTTTGGATGACAGTGAAATACTATACCAATAAATTCCCGAAGAAATCTCCGAAAAAATTTTTTTCTTAAAAATGACTAAAAATACACTCATTTGTCTTAAAATACTCAGCTCTGTCCATTTCTGTTGTTAAAAATCAGAAAAAATAGAGATTTTTGGTTCATCAACTTTGGATGACAGTGACATACTATACAAATAATTTCCCAAAGAAATCTCCGAAAAAAAATATTTCTCAAAAATGACTAAAAATATACTCATTTGCCTTAAAATACTCAGCTATGTCCATTTCTGTTGTTAAAAGTCAGAAAAAATAGACTTTTTTGGTACATTATCTTTGGATGACAGTGAAATACTATACCAATAAATTCCCGAAGAAATCTCCGAAAAAATTTTTTTCTTAAAAATGACTAAAAATACACTCATTTGCCTTAAAATACTTAGCTATGTCCATTTCTGTTGTTAAAAGTCAGAAAAAATAGACTTTTTTGGTACGCCAACTTTGGATGACACTGAAATACTATACCAATAATTTCCCAAAGAAATCTCCGGAAAAAATCTTTTCTCAAAAATGACTAAAAATACACTAATTTGTCTTGAAATACTCAGCTATGTCCATTTCTGTTGTTAAAAATCAGAAAAAATAGACTTTTTTGGTACGTCAACTTTGGATGACAGTGAAATACTATACCAATAAATTCCCGAAGAAATCTCCGAAAAAATTTGTTTCTCAAAAATGACTAAAAATACACTCATTTGCCTTAAAATACTTAGCTATGTCCATTTCTGTTGTTAAAAGTCAGAAAAAATAGACTTTTTTGGTACGCCAACTTTGGATGACACTGAAATACTATACCAATAATTTCCCGATGAAATCTCCGAAAAAAAAAAGTTCTCAAAAATGACTAAAAATACACTCATTTGCCTTAAAATACTTAGCTATGTCCATTTCTGTTGTTAAAAGTCAGAAAAAATAGACTTTTTTGGTACATCATCTTTGGATGACAGTGAACTACTATACCAATAATTTCCCGAAGAAATCTCCGAAAAAAAAATGTTCTCAAAAAAGACTAAAAATACACTCATTTGCCTTAAAATACTTAGCTATGTCCATTTCTGTTGTTAAAAATCAGAAAAAATAAACTTTTTTGGTACATCATCTTTGGATGACAGTGAACTACTATACCAATAATTTCCCGATGAAATCTCCGAAAAAAAAAAGTTCTCAAAAATGACTAAAAATACACTAATTTGCCTTAAAATACTCAGCTATGTCCATTTCTGTTGTTAAAAGTCAGAAAAAATAGACTTTTTTGGTACATTATCTTTGGATGACAGTGAAATACTATACCAATAAATTCCCGAAGAAATCTCCGAAAAAATTTGTTTCTCAAAAATGACTAAAAATACACTAATTTGTCTTGAAATACTCAGCTATGTCCATTTCTGTTGTTAAAAATCAGAAAAAATAGAGATTTTTGGTTCATCAACTTTGGATGACAGTGACATACTATACCAATAATTTCCCAAAGAAATCTCCGGAAAAAATCTTTTCTCAAAAATGACTAAAAATACACTCATTTGCCTTAAAATACTCAGCTATGTCCATTTCTGTTGTTAAAAAATCAGAAAATATAGACTTTTTTGGTACATCATCTTTGGATGACAGTGAAATACTATACCAATAATTTCCCGAACTAATCTCCAAAATAAAAGTTTATTAAAAATGACTAAAAATGCAGTAATTTGCCTTAAAACATGTTGCTATGTCCTGTTTTATGGTTAAAATTCAGAGAAAAAAAAACTTTTTTTTTGGAAAATCAATTTCTGATCACTAAAGTTCTTGTCGTGTAGAGCTAATCGTAGTGATCACACTTACCCGAGTCTCTGTGATTGGTCTCACTCGTGTCACCTGGTGCCCTGGTCTGTGTATCAATGCCTCTGTCCCTCATTCTGTCTTGGTAGGATTGTATTCTGTTGAATGTAGACATAGGAGGAAGCAGACAGGACCCAAATGAATCACAAAGGAAGCCATCTTCAGGTTTACCGGGTTCATTAACAAAGTGCAAATATAACAAAAACTCACTTGGTCACAGGAACAAGGCATAAAGTATAAGTCTTGGACCTTTAAGGCGAGAACAGAAATGAAACTTAAAAAATTGAACCTTTGGATGATAGACTGGATGAAAGTCTTAATATCCAGCGTAGTCAGGATGTATCTGAGGGATGCTGCTGTTGTAGTGGGCCAGTGCACCTGCAGATATAAAACAATTGTTAGACTACAATGATGAAACCCATACAATGATGTTTATATTTTAAAAAATAAGATAACGCATATTTAATGAATAAAGAATAATATTATACTTACATGGATAGTTGTTTTTGACAAGGCGTGCACATTTGTGTTACTTACTGTGACCACTGTGTGGTGCTGTGTACAACAAGAAAAACAGAGTGATGTTTCACAGAAAAGTGTCAATGTATTGATGAAAAAACAAATTGAAAAAAAAAAATTTAAACATGATTGAACAAATTTCACTGCCAAGTGAAGCTTTACACGTTTGCAAAAACTAAAAACCAGAATCCAAACTGTATTCAGTAAAATGAAGAACTATGAAGAAAAGTTAAAATTAATTCAAATTTTATTATTTAACTGCTTAAATGTATTATAATCCATTCAAGGTTGCAGACTATTATTGTTAATGTCAAACAACTTGGTTACACAGTTGTTTTGTAGCAGTTAGTCTTACAGTGACCTCCGTGACGTCACGTCAGAGAAGTCAGTCCTACTTTAAAACTTCTCTGTTGTTTTCTCAGAGCGGAGTTGAAGTTGTGTTTAGATAAAGTTTCCACCGCGTTTACTGGAAATAAACACCTACGCCTCACATTTTGGTCAGTGCCAAACCTCATTCCCACCGCATCAGGTGTTTTCCAGGACTGGTTCATAAAAG